ACAAATGCAATCAGTGTTAATCTGGTTTCTTGCACCCTTAATGAATCCCCAACAATAAAAAAAAAAAAAAGGAAAACATTTAATAGAAATCATTGTGAATGTTAACAGTAATAATCATTAAACAAGAAACAAATAAAAAAAATTGAGCCCCAAAGCCAATATCTAAAGGTTAGGAAGATGAATAGACAGCAGCAACTAGGAATGAAGGAGGAGAAAACCAAGATAAGTGAAGTGTCTTAGAAGCCAAGGAAAAGTGTTTGAGAAGGATTTACCATATCAAGTGCTGAAAACGGTTCTTGTGAAAGGAGGATGGAGAAGAGCAGAGAAGTAAGGGGTACTAGAACCTAACTGGAATGAAGTAGAAGAATTAGGGGTATTTTTCAAAGAATTTTCTATTAAGAGGAGAGAAATGGAACAATACCTGGAAAGGGCAATAATGTTGAGTTTTGTTTTTTTTTTAAAGATGGGAGGAAAAAACTGTATGCTTTAATGGTGGTAACCAAGTAGGAAAAATTGATAGGCTAGTCTTGAACCTGTGAGCTCAGGACAATCCATCTGCCTTGCCTTGCAGAGTGCTAGGATTACAGGCATGAGCCATCACGCTGGGCCTGTGGTTTTCACTTTAAAATTTAGAAAACCTGTCTATACTATGTGAGGCAGAGGCTTAAGGTCAGGAGTTTAAGACCTGCTTGTGTTTGAGTGACAGCCCTCATCTCTACAAAAAATAGAAAATTAGCTGGGTGGGGTGGTGCATGCCTGTAGTCCCAGCTACTTGTGAGGCTGAGGCAGGGGAATATCTTGAGCACAAGAATTTGAGGTGGGCTATGATGATGCCCACCATGGCACTCTTGCTGAGGTGGTGGAGTGACACTGTCTCAAAAAAACAAAATGCTGTTCTAGAAAATGTGAGGAAGATACTGAAAAAATAGGTAGATTTTAGGTATTAACTTTCCTATGTATCAACAATAAACAGCTCTGAAATAGCTTTGAAAAAGAAATTCCATTTAAAATCAAAATATATCTAGAAATCACCTAAGTGAAAATAGGATGATAGAACCTAACAAATACTTTAAAACTTTACGGAGACATTTTTAAAAGATAACTAAAGGGAATAGAGAGAACCAAAAATAGCTTCATGTTATATAAAGATACAAATTTCCCAATAAAAGGAGTATTAACAAATCCAGTTAAATTGAATTCTTTATAAAATTCCAGAGTGATAAAATCTTAAGAATAATTCTAAAAACTAGACAAAAGTAATAAAATAATATGCCTTACTTCGAAATACTGTGAGCAGTATAATTAAGTATTTGGTATATTAGGAGTTATGTTATTTACTTTTTTCAATTTCCTTGTAGGTATTATTATTATTATTTTTTTGAGACAGAGCCTCAAGCTGTCCCCCTGGGTAGAGTGCCATGGCTTCACTGCTCACAGCAACCTCCAACTCCTGGGCTCAAGTGAG